GTCTTGCTCAATCTATCCCAGGGGCCTCTGAAGCAGGAATCCGAAACAGAGGATGGGAAATTCGACTACATCATAATGTCTGAAGTGATTTACAATCAGTCATCTGACTCCTTGTATGACGATGATTTCCATGACAATCTGGTTGTTTGTTTGCTTGCTTGCTTCATCTGGAGTTCTAACAATTCTCTTGCAGATATGGACGATCTTGCAGTTTGTAAAACCCGGGACGATCATTTACAACGTGTTTGTTGACCGACCTTTCTCGTTCATGTTCTTTGCCAAGATCGATGAACTTCCTGGGAAGTAAGAAACGGACAAGAACAACTGTAAGATCCTTGAATGCCGCGGCCACGCCGTGCCGCAATGCCCGGCCGCCCGGCGGCCAGTCACAGTGCCCGGGGGCCCGGTGACTCACTGACCCAGCGGTGCTGGCCGGGGGGCCGGCCATGCCGTCATGCGGCCCGGCCGCGGGGGCCACTTTGGACCCGGCGCCCGGCCGGTGAAGTTTACCGTACGCCGTACGGTCACCCGTCCGACCGTGTACGCCGGGTCCGATCGGATCATCCGTTGGCAACGGCACCCGGCCGGGGGCCCGGGGCCCCGGCCGGCGGGGCCCGCGATCATGCGGCGATCCGATCATCGGATCATCGCCGCCGCCGGGGGGCGGCAGCGCTGAGCCTTCGCGGCCTGCCCCGGCCGCCGGGGGGCGGCAGCGCTGAGCCTTCGCGGCCTGCCCCGGCCGCCGGGGCCGGCCGACTGCCAGCCTGGCCGGGCCCTGTCAGTGCAGATTCTGAGCCTACAGAACTCTGACTCGAAAAGCAGTTGGTGGAAAGAGAGATGCCTTGAAGAAGACCACGAAGTCTCTGAAGCTTATTGTTGCCGTTTGAAGCTCTTGTCACATGATTCTATTGAACCTCGGAAAATTTTCACGTCTTGATGTGATCCATCATCGCTTTCACACAGATGAGGTTTGCTGTATAATATGATCATGATAGCAGAGCTAGGTCGCTCGGAGACGGCATCGTTGTCTTGTGGCATGCAATCAGGCATGTTCCTCGCTCTTGGTGCGAGAGGGTCGATTGCGACCTGTGTCCAATGTACGGTATTCAGTTTGTCAAAGCTGTCAGGAGAGGAAAAGCTGTATGTAGAGGAAGCTCATAAGAGGCGATGAGATAAAAAGATTTCATGAACATCGGTCTGTCTGATCCAGAAAGATCTCGGAGCTCGCAGTCAAACTAATCCTCCAAACGGTGCGATACGCCAAGAGGCCTCGGCTGGATCAGGATCTCCCCGTCTCGTTTCGTCCTCTCCTGCCTGCTGCTGCTTCTCCCCTTCAAGCACAGACAGGTCAGCGCCATGACATCCAGACAACCTTTAATCTCAATCTCTGCATTGGCAGAGGCTCCTGGCGGTAGCGTCTTCACCTCGCACAGTCAAATGCTCCGTTCGCGATCCGGCGATTGTTTTCCCAGTTTCCCACCTCTGCTATTTCCACCTCCGCACTTGTTGACCTCCTCTCAAACTCCGAGTCATAATCGTGTCAAGCACGCATGCCTGCGATGCAAGCTCAACAAGATCAAGTGCGACGACAGCCGCCCCTGCACGCGCTGCCTGCGGCAAGGCTGCGGACAAGCATGCCTGGCGTACAGCGCGCAGAGGCCCCCGCAAGGGCTTTCAGGTGTGTCAATGACGGGGGCGAGGAGCAGCGCAAGCGGTCTGCAGGAGACGGCTGGCCCAGCGATGAAGCGACGGTCGTGCGAGGGGTGCCGGCAGAAGAAGGTCCGGTGCAGCATGGAGAGGCCCTGCTCGAGGTGCGGGGGGAACCTGGTCCAGGCGTGCAGAGACTGCCTGGCGAGCGTTGCTCTTTTTTTTGCGTCAGCGATTGTATATGAAGTTTAAAGGTTTCTATTTATTCAGATTGTGACGTTACTGTTTTCGCTGGTGGCGTCATTTCACACGCATACGCAGTAAGCACAATATCCGTCTGTCTTATGCTATCTATTAGGACTCAGCATTCGGCGCTTTGTACATGGCAATGCTGTTTTGACTACAATCAACTCCGTTGGAAGGACGATTCATCTTGACTTGACGTTTGATCGAGTCGTTGAGTGACGTGATGGTGATCTGACGCCAAACCACCCTTTACACAATCGCTGACGCAAAAAACAAGATCATTCGAAGCTTCATTGGTAACATCTGAGCATGTCATTTCAAACAGCTTCGTTTACTTCCGAGCAACAAAAATAAATTCCCCCGTCCTCCCAGATTGACCTCCCTGCTTCCTTCCTTGCTTCCTCCTCCGCCAGCAGCAGCCCATCAACTGACTCTCCCAACGGCTCCTCCAGCTCCAGCCCCTCCCAGCTCCCCGCACTCTCATCCTCTCCTACCGTCCAGTACCTGTCTCCCCAAAGCAGCGCTCCCCCGTCTCCTACCTGCACACCCTCGTCCGATTCCTCGTGCTCTCCGTCTACTTTACCAGCCTCTTCTCCCAGACTGTCCCTGCACCCCCGCCCGATTCTCAGGCACCGCAAGCACGGCCGGCCCTCGTCGCACCCTACCTTGGACCGACGACAAGCCTCGCACGCCCGCACCACCTGCTTCCTCCGGTGCTTCAGCCGCCTGCACGAGTCCCTCCACGCCTGCACCTGCTCCGGGCACATCTGCAAAGGCACTAGCGCCTCCTCCCATGGCCCCAGCGTAGGAGCAACGCTCGCCAGGCAGTCTCTGCACGCCTGGACCACGTTCCCCCCGCACCTCGAGCAGGGTCTTTCCATGCTGCACCGGACCTTCTTCTGCCGGCACCCCTCGCACGACCGTCGCTTCATCGCTGGGCCAGCCGTCTCCTGCAGACCGCTTGCGCTGCTCCTCGCCCCCGTCATTGAAAGCCCTTGCGGGGGCCTCTGCGCGCTGTACGCCAGGCATGCTTGACCGCAGCCTTGCCGCAGGCAGCGCGTGCATGGGCGGCTGTCGTCGCACTTGATCTTGTTGAGCTTGCATCGCAGGCAAGCGGCGAAGGCCCGGGATCGTTGTGTCGTATCGACAGGAGAGGCAGTGTCCGCCATGGATGGAGCACCGACAGAGAGAGGAAAGTATGTCGCTGGCGCTGGCGGCAGGGCTGGAGTGCTGTACAGGGAAGGGCCAAGCACGGAACTCATGGTGCCGAGGGACGAGAGGAGACAGGAGAGGACGAGGAATATCTGTGCAAGAGGAGTCTTGCGGATGTATATATATATACAAAGATTTCGTCAGCACCATCAGCTGCTTGTCGGGATCTTCCGAATCGTTGTGTAATTAAGTCCCCTTGTGGGCCACTGGCTCCGAGATTGTACCAGAAAGCCCTCAGGTCCGAAGTCCCTCGTGACTTGCCGCAGCCCCGGAAAGTTTTAGTTAAAGATTGCTCGCTCTGCACTTTTCTCAAAAAGTTTACTTTTCATGTCATACGATGCTGGAAGAGGACCGCGCGACGATGGATGCGAGGACAGGTCCCAGTTTCTATATATCTTGCAACTCAAAGGAGCTCAGACTTCTCAAGATTGCTTCTAGCAACGGCTGCTACCATGGCACGCATCGGAACCCAGGTTCCCATCACGGCATGCTGTTCACGGTTAGGTTCCTGTTATTAATAGATGTCACATACTGCGAAGAATCATACTTGTCGTGCTCGTTGTGCTCTAGTAAGACCCCTGTGTCGAGCTCGCTGTCAAGGCGAACTTGGTCGCAGACTTTTTTCAATAGCTATCTCTGAGCCGTTGTGTGATTGCAGTACGATACCTGAGTGGGGGTTTAAAGCCACCCCCACTCCCTCGTTAAGATCTTTGCGTCTGCCGCACTTCCCTTCAGAGCCTCTCTCCTAGCGTTGTGAACCAACTTCTGCATCCACCTGCCAAAAGAAACATCAACTCACCCCAATGCCCCCAAACTCTGTCACCCCCTCCCCCTTCCCTTTGACCTCTCTCTCCTTCCTTCCCCCTTTCTACCAACTTCCAGGAACATAACAGACAAGACAAGTCGCAACACCTGGACCAATGTAGTCGAACGTTTCATGGGGACGACACTGCTGGATGATCGGAGTTGTGCTCTCAAGAACTAACTACTAAGACTCATTTGCTTTGGCTATCCAGCCGTTGTCAGTCAGTTGGTTTGGGGTAACCCCTCCAACCGCCTACAAGTTTCTTGATAGTATCAGTTGACGCTGATGCAACAAGTCAGAAGGATTCCTCACATAAACAGAGATCCTAAGATCATCTGAGCTCAACGTCTTACGCAAGGTTGTGTATACAACATATGGTAGCGAATTGGTTCACATTCCAGCTTTGATTCAGAATCTCGAACGATTCCAAGAATGATTTCAGCACTGAAAGAAAGCAAGCAAACTGTTGAAAGTGAAAAGATCGCGTAAGGCTCAGACCAGTGAACGAAGGATTCCGAGATCTACAGAACAAGTCGCTGATTCAACTTCGATTCACCCAAATGTTGGAGCTCAACAGTTTCAATTCCCCCGTCCTTTTTCCGCAACGAGAGATGATGATTCAATTATGCAAGATCGACCACAGCAGGATTCCCATCCAGCTTCTGGTGCTCGCCCATTCTTTTTCACGCCAGTACCAGCCCCGTCTATCTTCGTTCCGGAGTCTCCAGCTCCGCATCCTTCCTGTAATTCCGCTTTTGGTGCATTTTCTCCGCGTACCCCTGCCGCAGAGCCCATCTCTGCGATGTCTTCAGGTCGAAATTCTCCTGCTACCAACGACAAGGAACCGTCTCTTCGTCAACTTTTTGCTTTACTCCTGCAACAGAACGCAGATGCCCGCAAGGATGCCCAGCAACGTCAAGAAGAACTTGAACGCAAGCTGGATCGTCAATTTGAGCAATCTCAGGAATTCCATGATCGTCTACTTGCTCAATCCTACGAACTTCAAGACCGTCTTGTTTCCGCCCTTTCAACCTCTGTGGCAGAAATCCAGCGCTTGAAGCCCCTCCCTGCACCGTCTAGTGCGCAGACGTCTCCGCGCATGGCGAGTTCTGCCTCCCCTCCCAGCCCTCGGCTGATGTACGCACCGTCTAGTGCGCAGACGTCTCCGCGCATGGCGAGTTCTGCCTCCCCTCCCAGCCCTCGGCTGATGTACACGCATGTTATCCCGGTTGAGCCAGACCCTTCATCGATTCCCGAAGCTCCGCCTCCAGTTTCTCTCTTGCCAGAGAAACAGATGACTCCGTTGCCAGGTATTCGTGCTTCTAACATGCAGCAGAATCCCTCTCGTGACGTATGCATGTCGCTGATTCCTCAGCCCACGCCCGTCCGTCCTTCTCAATCTTTCCCTGGTGACAAACTCCCGAAATTTCAGCCCAGAATGTCCATCACCCCCTTTCTCGGTCAGGCTGACTCTCGAAGCATTCACAGCTGGCTCTCTCAGATGGGACGCGCTCTGTCTGTTCAACGCATTCCCGGCAATCTATGGGTTTACTATACAACGACATTTCTTGATGACTCTGTTCTTCAACGCATGTCTCACGATCGTCCTCTTCACGAAAGGTTCCTTCTTCCCTGGCCGGAATTCTGTCTTTTCATCACGCAGCAATTTTCTCCCGCGGCTCACATCCCCTACAGCACCAAGTGACCAATCTCTGTCAAGGCATCAACGAATCGATCACTGATTATACTCTTCGGACGCAACGTTATGTCGACGAACTTTTACTATACAAATCTGAAACTGTCGTATTTCAAGAGCACAATCTTCTCAGTCAACAATTCGCCAACCGTGGTTTTCTCGACCCGGAAGTTCGACTCGTTATGGTCCCCATAGCGCACATGCATCCTGCTACAGCTGCCACGATGTCGCTTCTAGCACAGAAAGCTTTCGCCTTCGTCAAACCGTCTTCTTGGTTCCAGCCTATTTGTGCCCTTCAACCCTCTCCGTCGACGCCAGGAGTTCAGCCCTCCCCAGCTCCCGCACAGTCCTCCGGTTCGAGTCCCCCAAATTAAGTTTCTGCACTTACTGCAAACGACGGTTCTGGACACATCCACGGTGGGAAAGAAAACTGTATTGCAGCTCCGACAGTACGTATACGAATTTGCTCGACTCTACGTTGAGATAGCGAAAATCCATCCTTCAAAATGAATCAGGATACCGAGATGTACAAAAGTGACAACGATCATATTGAAATCTTGGTTACACCCCGAGATAAAATGAACTCCGACAGGGAAAGAAAATGTTTCAAATCCCCCAAAAGCAGATAGAGAGTCTCTTCCATCTCAGGCAGACTGAAGCAGCAGCTTATCTGGTATCGCATCATATTGTTCAAATTGATATGTTTCTGACCTTTTCCGCGACAGGGGATCTCTCTGACGGCAATGAAAGCAGCTTGTCGACGAGTTGGGATCTCCAAGTGGCCATATTCTCGCATTAGACCTAAGGCGGTTTTCAGAATGGTTTCTCCCACTGCTGCTGTGCAGGAGTCGTCAGACGAAAATGAAGAAAGCACGACCGAGTACAGCCCTTCACCTTCAAAGTCAGCAACCGATGCAGACTTTGCAAAACAAGGACTGGTCGACTGCAGTGGGGTTGAACATTGGCCTCTAAAGTCAGCAGAAGCAGAACACACGACAAATCCCTTGCACATTCACGCTGATACAAAGGAGGCTGGAGAAGTCTTAGAAATCAAGTCCGAAACTCAGACCATAGAAGAGCAAGGGAAGGATGTTTCTCAAGGGGCTCTGTTTGATTTTCCATTTGAGCCCCTCGACGCCAGCTGGATTTCTGCGTTCATGAACGACAGCTTGGGCGACGACTGATTTGAGATTTTGCTGAATCCATGTCATGCACAAGTCTCCTCCTGTGAATCCTTTAACTCTCCCCTGCTTGTGGCTTAGATGCTCGATGATGATCAGGCTCATGATCCCATGGAAATGTCCGAGTGACTGCCATGCAGCCACCGTCTGCGGCAGGCTTTAGCCCGCCGCGTTGAATCAGTGTGGCTCAGTCTTTGTTTGGGAAATTGGCCGACTCAGTCTGCTTTGGGAAATTGAGAGTCGGCTCTGCCAAATCATAGCTGAAAGTTGTCACTCACTGTAGTACTGTTAATAACTGAGTGCTGATTAAAAATTGAAAGTCATTCCGATCGTCAACCCGGGCCGTTGAACGGTCTGGCGGCGGCGCCGGCCGGCGGCAGTGTGACTCCGAGCAAGGCGGCCCGGTGCCACAGCCCGGCCTGTGACTGGCCGCAGTAAAACTGGGCAACTCCCACTGTGCGGGACGGAGCCGCCTCTCAATCAATTAATACTCAAGTTTGCCGGGGGGACCGTCAGACAGCAGTCGGCCGTCACGGGGCCCGGCGTTGGCCGTGTCACTAGTCAGTCCGTCATCACTGATCATGTCATCATTGGGCATCATGGCAGACTTTTGGCCGTACTATAGGTTCAACCGTTACTCCGAGTCAGTCACGCCGGGTCACTGTCAAGCCCAGTCACAGATTCGGACTGATTCAATGTGCACCGTTACAGTGTGGCGCCGGCTGCCGCCGCGCCGCGCGGCACACTGGCCTGCCACTGAGGCTGCTCCGGGAGCCTCCGAACTGCCAGGAACTTCGGAAGGGCTGCCCCCCCCGGCCGGGCCGCACCTCCGACACCGTACTATTCAGTGACTACGGTATGGCGGCCCCGGAACTTGGCAAGTCACTGCCGCGGCGGCTCGGCGGGCGGACTCAGTCGACAGGCCCTTGCCGCCGGGCCGGGGCCAGGGCCCTTGCCGCCGGGCCGCCCGGCGCGGCCCGGACTCGAGCCTCCCGAGTCCGGCGAGAGTGCGGCCGCGCCCTCGGAGACGCAGAGCCTCCGATCTTAACAGTAACTTAGTTATTGAATCGTAGGCCCCGCGGCAAACTTTTTGATTGTATCATTGATGGCAACCGACTCGACTTGAATGGCGAACGTGAAAGTTTTGACTCGAAAAGTCCGGCGCCGCAAGTACTACGCCGTACTCCCGGGCCCGCGGCGCCGGTCCCGGAGTCCCCGGCGACTCAGAGTCAGGTCACACCGTACCGTACTAATCAGAGCCGCGCGCCGCATGGCTGCAGTTACACCGCTACAACGGTCCAACGGTTCGCCGTCGGATCCCGTTGACTGGCAAAGTGAAGTTTTCAAACTCCGTTCGGATCATGAACTCAGGTATGGTACCGTACTGATAAGTACGGTACCGCACATAAACGTGACTCATGCCGTACCGCAGTCACACAACGGTTCGGATGAACTCAGTCAGGTATGGTACCGCAGTCACACATGATGAACTCAGGTATGGTACCGCAGTCACACATGATGAACTCAGGTATGGTACCGCAGTCACACAACGTTTGACTGATCAGTGATCCCTCACGGTCACGAGGGACTTCGGACCTGAGGGCTTTCTGGTACAATCTCGGAGCCAGTGGCCCACAAGGGGACTTAATCACACAACGATTCGGAAGATCCCGACAAGCAGCTGATGGTGCTGACGAAATCTTTGTATATATATATATTTGATGCATCTGTCCATACTATATATACATCCGCAAGTCCTCATGCAGTCGTCCACTCCTGTCTCCTCTGGTCCCTCGGCACCATGAGCTCCGTGCTTGGCCCTTCCCTGTACAGCACTCCAGCCCTGCCGCCAGCGCCTGCGACATACTCTCCCCTCTCTGTCGGTGCTCCATCCATGGCGGACACTGCCTCTCCTGTCGATCCCACACAACGCTCCCGGGCCTTCGCCGCTTGTCTGCGATGCAAGCTCAACAAGGTCAAGTGCGACGACAGCCGCCCATGCACGCGCTGCCTGCGGCAAGGCTGCGGTCAAGCATGCCTGGCGTACAGCGTGCAGAGGCCCCCGCAAGGGCTGTCAATGACGGGGGCGAGGAGCAGCGCAAGCGGTCTGCAGGAGACGGCTGGCCCAGCGATGAAGCGACGGTCGTGCGAGGGGTGCCGGCAGAAGAAGGTCCGGTGCAGCATGGAGAGGCCCTGCTCGAGGTGCGGGGGGAACCTGGTCCAGGCGTGCAGAGACTGCCTGGCGAGCGTTGCTCCTACGCTGGGGGCGTGGATGCAGATGTGCCCTGAGCAGCTGGAGGTGTGGAGGTACTCGTGCAGGCGGCTGAAGCACCGGAGGAAGCATGTGGTGCGGGCGTGCGAGGCGTGTCGTCGGTCCAAGGTAGGGTGCGACGAGGGCCGGCCGTGCTTGCGGTGCTTGCGAACAAGGCGGGGGTGCAGGGACAGCCTGGGAGAAGAGGCTGGCAAGGTAGACGGAGAGCAAGAGGACTCGGACGAGGGTGTGGAGGTAGGAGACGGGGGAGCGCTGCTGGGAGAGGATGAGGGTGCGGGGAGCTGGGAGGGGCTGGAGCTGGAGGAGCCGTTGGAAAGATCAAATGATTGGTTGCTGCTGGCGGAGGAGGAAGCAAGGAAGGAAGCAGGGAGGTCATTCTGGGAGGACGGGGGCATTTATTTTTGTTGCTTGGAAGGAAACAAAGCTGTTTGATGTGACTTTCTTGGATCGTTTGAAGGAAGCTTCGAATTATCTTGTTTTTTTTTGCGTCAGCGTTTGTATAAAGATTTGTATTCATTTACATTGTGACGTCATTGTTTTTGCTGGTGGCGTTATTTCACGCGTATGTGCGGCAAGCACGATAACCGTCTGTCTTATGCTATCTATTAGGACTCAGCATTCGGTGCTTTGTACATGGCATTGCTGTTTTCACTACAATCAGCTCCGTTGGAAGGACGATCCATTTTGACTTGACGTTTAATCGAGTCGTTGAGTGACGTGAAGGTGATCTGATGGCAAACCTAGGAGGTCGTATGTTGTATACATTCTTGCAGAATGACTGCCATCCTATCGTGCATTCATTGGTTGATTGCGAACGCAGAACATGACACACAAGAGTCGCAACACCTGGATCAAAGTCGGAGCCAATCACAACTAGCACGCCGCCAGGGCGGGGTTGCAAGGACAGCCCGCTAGAAGGGACCGACAGAGACTAGGAGGTTTGTGAGGTCAAGAGGATGGCCGAGAGCCGGAAGAGGCGAGAGGAATCTCGAGGTATCAGGGGAGCGTTTCATGGGGAAGACACTCCTGGATGATCGGAGTTGTGCTCTCAAGAACTAAGATTCATTGACTTTGGCTATCCAGTCGATGTCAGTCAGTTGGTCTGGGTAATCCCTCCAACCGTCTACTTTCTTGATAGTATCAGATGACGCTGATGCAGCAAAGACAGAAGGATTCCTCACATTTTGTATCATCCTAGCTCTGCTGAGCTAGCTCGAAGCACCTTGGTCGAAGTGTCGCTGTCATGAGATCACGAGGCTGCTTTGAAGGTTGCTGCATCAGGCAGAGTCGATGAAGAATATGCGGTTACTCTGACACTTTGACGCTCTTTGCAGCATATCCTATACCACACCAGACACGATAAAACTTCATCCATGTGACGAATACTCATCGATCAAGATGATTGGAGGGCTGAAAGAAGGTGAAAGCAAGTTATCATACCGCACATGATCGAGCTGATCCGGTGAAGCGCCTTGCATGATACCTCGGTCCTGAGGCGAAGCAGAGATGTTTGGTCGAACAGCTCAGCTCTGAAAAGATCGCGACTCCTACACCTACGTTTTGGGAGCAAGTGAAGGAAGTATCCCGCTGAGAACGAAAACACTTCTTTTCAAGATATACCAGAGCAGTGATATCTCGGAGTATTGTCTTTGTACATCCGCAACGATTCGGATGCTTCCGACATAGCTGGCAATGATGACAGGATCCTTTTGATCCTTTCCCGCACTTTACCTCTTCTGAGCTCGTCTTCCGAACTTGCTTACGAGCGTCTGCCCGCTCTCTTTACCAAACTCATTCTCATCATTCCTCTACTCATGGCGGACACTGCCTCTCCTGTCGATCCGACTCAACGCTCCCGGGCCTTCGCCGCTTGTCTGCGATGCAAGCTCAACAAGGTCAAGTGCGACGACAGCCGCCCCTGCACGCGCTGCCTGCGGCAAGGCTGCGGACAAGCATGCCTGGCGTACAGCGTGCAGAGGCCCCCGCAAGGGCTTTCAATGACGGGGGCGAGGAGCAGCGCAAGCGGTCTGCAGGAGACGGCTGGCCCAGCGATGAAGCGACGGTCGTGCGAGGGGTGCCGGCAGAAGAAGGTCCGGTGCAGCATGGAAAGACCCTGCTCGAGGTGCGGGGGGAACGTGGTTCAGGCGTGCAGAGACTGCCTGGCGAGCGTTGCTCCTGCGCTGGGACCGCGGATGCAGATGAGCCCGGAGCAGCTGGAGGTGTGGAGGTACTCGTGCAGGCGGCTGAAGCACCGGAGGAAGCAGGTGGTGCGGGCGTGCGAGGCTTGTCGTCGGTCCAAGGTAGGGTGCGACGAGGGCCGGCCGTGCTTGCGGTGCCTGAGAAGTGGGCGGGGGTGCAGGGACAGTCTGGGAGAAGAGGCTGGTAAAGTGGACGGAGAGCACGAGGACTCGGACGAGGGTGTGGAGGTAGGAGACGGGGGAGCGCTGCTTGGGGGAGACAGGTACTGGACGATAGGAGAGAATGAGAGTGCGGGGAGCTGGGAGGGGCTGGAGCTGGAGGATGGGAGGGAGCCATGGGAGGGAGGATCTGATCTCGGGGTACTGCTTGCGGAGATGGAAGGAGGGGAGGAGGCAGCAAAGTTGATCCTTGACGAGGAGGAGGTGGAGGAGGAGGAGGAGAAGGAGGGGGAGGGGGAGGGGGAGGGGGAGGGGGAGGAGGAGGAGAGCAAGGACGAGGAGATGGTCTGGGGTTTACAAAAGTGTAATTATCTGTGATCTTGCTGTAAATATTCTTTTTTTTTGTTCACTTTCATTGAAGCTTGTTCAAATGAGGCTGTTTCATCAACTTTTTGGCCAGCGGTCGACGTGATTTCTAGCAATGTATTCCTCAAGCTCGGTCGACGATAGGAGAGGATATCTCCGTTTGTTATGGAAAATCATGTTGTAATGGTTGCTGGATGATGGCGGCTACAGAAAAAATCCGTTGCAAACAGAGCTCATCAGCAAGGAAGTTTGACTATCTCCTCCTTGCATTCGGACCGCGCATAACTGTGAGGGAGGGGGAAAGACGATCAAAGAACAGCTGGACGGCATGAGAAAAGAACAGATGTCAGAACTGGTGAACGATTGCAACCTTGTAGAACACTCAGCACCATATGCAGTCAAGGACAAGATGTTGCTTGCATTTCAGGAGAATAAGATCGCCATCAGGCATGATGCGCTGGAGCAGGAGGAAGCGTTGTTGTTAGAGATGGGCTCGCCTTGTTTCTTTGAACCTGATAGCAGATTTCCGCCTTTGCTGACTTGAGGGGTTTGACTGGCAGCTGTGTGGAGAAAAGTGGTCTCAATTGGTCGTTGAATCGTTAATCGATTGCGCTGGAAGAACACATAACGATGCATCACACGCGAGCTATGTATCTCATATGCACTGTATGGTTCATCCTTCAGGTCTGCAAGGAAAGTGTTTGTGCGCGTAAGAGGCAGTATTGCCCCTTCCTGGAGCTTCCAAACTCCAATCGTCTCGTCGGCGAGAAGCGACGGCGATACGAGGGATGACTTGAGAAGGGCCGGTAAAGCACGGACGGGCCCTGCACGAGTTGCGAGAGGAGCCCAGCATAGGCGTGTTGGAACAACCTGAGCACAGCCAGTCTATTCAATGCGTCGCTTACAAGCAAAGGCTATAGGAAAAAAAAAAGAACAAGCGACGAGCGAGCCGTGCTGTCGGTCCAAGATAGGATGCGACGAAAACAGGCTGTGTGATGGATGCGTGAAGTGTGCGGGGGTCCTGCAGGTCACCCAAGCATGGTTGAGCAGAAGGAGTCAGCATGTCGGCGATGGTTTCATAACCTTGTTCAAGGACGACCCGCAGAGTCAAGGTACGAAGAGAACGCTGCCCCGTCTGCCGTTGGAGGCAAGGTGGAGACTGGGGATGGGCGACGAGCTAGAAATCGATGGAAGATCGTTCCTTGACCTGTCGACCAGTAGAGATGATGCAATTCACTGCACGAGAAAGAGTTCAGTTTCTCCTTCCTTGCCCTGAGGGAGTGAAGGCAGACCCGTGCCTCGGGACATCTCTGGTGTGTAGGACAGGCTGCAATGGCGCTCACAGCTATTGAATTCTCAATCTTTGCTGCAGTTCATATACAATCAGAAAGCTTCTCTTCATTCTGAACTCTCCTTCGACTTCGACTCTGCAGCAAACGATACGCAAGTAAGTTCGGCAAGGAGAGCGTTTGTGCGCGCAAGAGGCACTGTTACCTTCCTTGAGCTTCTTCACTCTCCGAGCGTCTCGTCGTCTTCTCGCCTGCCCTTGAATCTTGGTGGCTGCATGCGACAAGTCCTTGTCCAGCTTCAGCTCCCAGTCGATCGAGAGCGTCCATTCTACAAGGGAAAGAAGATAAAAAAAGATCAAAAAATAGGCTTGAAAGTCAAATGAAGACAAAGAGGGAAGAGAGGATGTTGAGAACGCACCCACTATCTGTTCAGCAGACTTTCTAGAAATCGAAGTTTGGTCATATTCCACAACAAACTCCTTTCATTGCGAGTCTCGTCAGTCGATACAACATGACCTAGTGCATTCATACCTTCTCGAACAGTCCAACCTTCTTCTCTATCTCAGCATACATGTTCATCGTTTCATTCGCCCTCTTCTCAATCTCTTCATTGCTCAAGCCCTTCTCTTGCTGGCGACGCTTCAAGGCCTCGACCTCTGGTTTGATAAGGACACATCTTGGCATGAACTTTCCCGCTAGAGCAGTTCGGAAGGAGGAGAAGCAGGAGTACGGGCAAGGGATCAGGGCACACCTACCAGTCTCAAAGATGCTCTCAAGGTTCGAATGCTTCCAGCCATAGTGACTCTCTCCTATCTCCTGCTCTACGATGAACTCGTCCGCCCCCGCCGCTATGCTGAAAGAGCCTCGGTCCATGGTTTGAAAGTCGACCCCCTCCTTCTCCTTCTCCTTTAGCTCCCTATCCGTGAACGCCACCAGCACCCCAAACTTATCAATGTGAGCCTTCACCATGTCCCGCGCTAGTCCCCTCTTGCCGCTCTCAGGAGGACCGACCAGGAGGAGCGGTCTTGCCCTCGCATACCCCCACCCATCTACCGCATCCCCTGAGCCATCGCCTCCTTTGAAGCTCTCGAAGTATTCATTGCAGAACCTAAGGTCTCCATCAGCTGACTTGAGGGATGAAGGAGGGAGAAACAGAGTTGATTGGACGGGGTGAGGGAGCAAACAGGAGTGTTCAACGGGACAGCAATCAACGGAGATGGGCTTCGAAAACAAAGAAACAATCAAGTGTTGGAAGGGAAGGTGGAAAAGGACGGAGTAAAGACAGGAGAAAGACTCACTGGAAACAGTCTTCAGGCTTGTTCACTAGGACATTCACAAGAAAGTCATGCATTATCTGCGTCAGCTCCGGATGATCCGCGAGGTACTTGCGATACTGACCATGATTGTCATCATCGGCCCACACGTAGGAATCAACCAAGCAGTATCAACACATTCAGCCTCTTGTCGACAAAACCGAATTATTCACATCTCATTATTCTGCTCAACAAAACTGCTTCTCATCTTGTTGTCAACATCTTTGCTTCGTCAACATCAACATGATATCATCGATGATCATTATCGCCCTCATCATCGTCCACGTACCTGGTCGCTTAGCTCGCCGCTTCGATCTCTGATCGCCGCCTGCTCCTCTAGATTGAACCCCTCCATGCTCCGCCCTGCCGTTGGGCAGGAGGGTGGAGGAGGGGTCTAGCCACCCCCAAATTGGCCATGAAATTGGGGGTCCCACCTGAATTTCATTCGAGGCGGGTTTGGTATAATCGTGCAACGGTCTTGCAACGGTCAGTTTCCGTTGGGGCATGCAGCCGGTGGAAGGCGAGGCTGGGCGTCCCGGAGGAGGGAGAAAGGGAGGAGGGAGAGAAAGGATAGGAGAGAGAGATGTTGTACCTCGGAGCTGGAAGAGGACGATGTGTGTGTAGAGCAGAAGGGCTGACACTGTCAGAGTAAGAGCCTTGCTCGAAGGCAAGTTTTCTGCCATGCCGAGTACCTCGTATCATGCCGAGGATGTTGGGAAGATCCTCCTCGAGGTTCAGAACAATCTGCGAGCACTGCGCTCAGACCTCTCGGCAACGTCCACCAGTGAGGCCAGCGCGACCAAGAAGATCTCTCTGCTACAGCAGCTCATCGACAAAGCTGAGAACGACATCAAGTTGAAGACAGAGGTTGTGCTGAACAATGCCTTCAACGAGCAGTACACAACTCTACCGGCAATCAGGGACACCAAGCGGTCAAGATCCACCTCACGGCCCAACTCAGCGTCTCTCCGCCGCCTATCTGTTAAGGAGCAGATGCAGTCAAAGAGGCAGATGGATCTGATTATGCAGCCCAACTCCTCCGAAGCAAGAAACTTCCTGCAGGAGAGGTTTGGCGTTGCCGCTCCTCCTCCTCCGAAGCCAAGGCAACCTAAGAAGGTCCCAGGCAGTGTCATCCGATCCAAGACGTCGGAACCAGGCACCGTCCTTCCTGCTGCTGTTCGCCGCGACCCCAGCGCTCCTCCTCCTCGCCTCACGCAGAAGGACATTCATAAGGGCATGTCAGAGCTGGTCAACAAGGGACTGATACCCAAGTACGTCGATCTCACTCCTGCCTTCGTCCGCACGCCTGCCCCCGTCCTCTGCGGGCCTGTACAGATGCATCCTTGGGACGAGCAGTTCGTGCGGCAGGAGCCGTACACCAACCCGACAGGGTTCTCGCTGGCGGGAGTGAAGATGGATATGATTTCTTCAGCCAGACAGGTTGATCTGAACACGCTCCCTAGATCCACCGCGTCCATGAGGTCGAAGCCGCACAAGAGCATGAGCGTGCAGATGGAAGTGGGCGAACAGGAGGAGTCCAAGGTACGCAAGGTCTCGGTTGCGATAGCGCCTGCGGGAGAGGAAGGGGGGGATGAAGATTTGCCGGAGATGGGAGGAGGAAGGGACAAGAAGGAGGGAGGAGGGACACCCAGGGACTACAACACGCTGCTGGACGAGTTTTCACTGCATCAGTTCATCATACGGAGAGGATTGACACTTTCGTCCACCCCTGAGTTTGAGTCGTACAAGAGGAAGCACACGGTGATGTGGGGAGCGATTCAAGATATTATTTCCAGGTGAGGAGGGGGAAGGGGAGGAGGGGGGAGGGGAGGAGGGGGAGGGGGGAGGAGAGCTTGTTCACGTGAGAGGAGACGGATGAGCGATATGATTTTGTTGGGGATGAGAATCACTTTTGATGATGTTGATGATTCTGTGTATTTTGTTTTCTTTGTCTTTCCTTGTTTCTCACCGGACTCTCCGATAGGCTCGAGAGATTCCTTGGCAACTACAATGTTCCTCTTGCTTACGTCGATGGCAACAAAGTCGCGCTGCTGGCTCAGCTGGACTACAAAGAACCCAGTAACGACGACCTCCTCGATTGTTTGGTCAACCTCGAACAGGTGAGATTTATTCGAATAGGTTGCTTCTCAGTTGCTTTCTTCTATTGTTTTTGCTGTCGTGATCTACTAGTGAGTGACGACTCTATTATGTTGGCCAAGCATGCCTATTGCACCTGTTTGTTTCGTAGATCAAACATCCATTGCGACACTCAGAGACTGTTGACGTGTTCTTGTGTTTCTTTACATAATGCCGTAAACATCCTTCGATTTCATCTCTTTGGTTTCTACACCCCAGTCGTTTTGTGTCAGCCGATCATTGCGATAGTGATGTCTTTGCAGGTTCTTGAGCTTGTCAAGCTTCCGGGAGGAAGATACCGAGGAAGTGACAAGGAGAGAAGCGCCTCGTTAGTGCTGCAGTCAGTTTACCGAGGCCATTTCTGCCGCAAGCAGTTCCGGCAATCGTTGCACAGATACAAGGTTGGAGCATGTCGTTGTGTTGGTGCTTGAAGGCTTCATTCTGTTGTCTCGTGATTTTACCTCCTTCTCCTCCTCCTCCTCCTCCCCCTCCTTGTTTGTTGGTTTGTTTGTCTGCTTCTGGTGTTGGGGAGAAACTGATTGTGTTAATATCGCAGTCGTGTTGTATTATACAAAGACAATGGAGGACAATCATCACGTTCCGACGAGCAACCAAGGTACCACTTAATACAATTCCAACTGCTTCTTCTCCTGTTTTGTTTATTTCTCCCTCATCCTCTTCTTCTCTCCTCTTGCCGGGTCTCCATGTCTTGTTTTCATCTGCTCTCTTCTCTCCTTCGTTTCCTCTCCCTCCTCGTCTTCCCCGCTTATTCTCCTTCCCTCCTCTCCACCCTGTTGTCTCTTCCTTCGCCTCACCTTGAACCTCTCTCACCACGTTCCTCCTTCAGCTCATCGAGGAGAAGATCGAAGACAGGAAGACGCAGTTTCAGCAGCTCTCCATCAAACTCCAGCAGCAGTGGCAGGACATGAGCAGGAGAAAACGAGTGGTCGTGCACGTTCCCTCCATCTCCCGCGAGGAGGCTCAGAGGATGAGCGTGCAAGACTTTGCCATCAGGCAGAACAATCAGCTGGGCAGGCTCACCTGGTCCTCCTCCCCCGATGTCGAGGTACCCTCCTCCTCCTCCTCCTCCTCCTTCTCCTCTTCATCCTCCACCTTTTCTTTGATTCTCTCCTTCTTTTTCGCTTCTCCTCTGCCAATCCCTCCTTAGACTTAAACCATCTTCTTGCCCTCTTTATCACTCTCTACCTGTTCCGCCTACTCTCTCCTCCTCCTCATCATCATCATCCTCCCCGCCTCCCCCCCCCCTTCCTCCTTTCCCCCCTTTTCCCCTCCTCTTCATCACGATGTCTTGCCTTACTGCTTCTCATCATGCAACCTTACGGGTCATACTCCTGCTCTTCTCTCCTCCTCACCTTCCGCCAGGTCATCTACGTTGCTCCCTTCCCTCTCAGCCCGGATGTTGTTCAGTACTACTCCAAGCTCCTGCAAGTGCGAGGAACCGAGTCAGCCGATGATCGATTCAAGGTTTCCTCCTGACTCGCCTTCTCTTCCTCCTTTATCCTCCTATTTCCTCCTCTCTCCTGCTCTTCCTTCTCCTCCTTGTCCTCCTCCTCCTCCTCTTCCTCCTTCTACCACTATAACTACTTCTCCCTTTCTCCTCCTTCTCCATGTCCTTTCCTCCCCCAACCCCCTTCCCGCTCTTTTATCTTCAGTTCATTTCTTTGCTATCCCTGCTGTCTTTCACCCACTCCCTTGCCTGTGCTTTCTCGGCAACATGCTCTGACATGCTCAACTTTCAGATTGTGTTTCCTGAGAACTACGATCGATTTCCTTCTCACTTCTCTATCTCCTCTATCCTCCTCTACTCTCCTCGATGCTTGAAGCGGATCATCAACTTTGCCAAGGTATGGCGAACTGAATGTATGAATGGGTTTGATGAAGTGATGGTGATGGTGATGTTGGTGGTGGTGGTGGTGATGATGATATATGGGAATATTGATTATGGAGATAGAGATGATAATGTTGGTATCATAACAATCTTGAACAGGGGAAGGACGCATACATAATCCCGGGTGTAGTTGGTCCAGAAGATCTGAAGGTAAAACGGATCCATCAACGGCCGTCCTCCTCCTCCTCCTCCTCCTTTTCTGTCTTTCTCTCTCTCCAACCCCCTTCTCCTTCTCTTCCTTTCTCTCCTCCTCCTCCTTCTCCTCCTTTTGCTCATATTCCTGATACACGTGCTTTAGCTTGCGTGCTGTCTCAACATGCCCCTCCTCTCCCCGGAGCCTCAAGTTGCCACCGTCTACTCCTCCAAGTCAGGATCTCGCCGAATATTCTCAATCGCAGAGGTGCAGATGAAATGAGGAGGAAGCTGGAGGGTGGGGGGGGAGGAGAAGAGGAGGAGAAGGTTGGAGGAGAGGAGAGGAGAGGAGAGGAGAGGAGAAGAGAGGAGAGGAGAGGAAGAAAGAAAGGGGGGAGGGGAGGAGGCAGAGAGCAGAGGAAGAGAGGAGGAGAGGACGAGGAGGAAGGAGATGATGACGGAGCGGCAGGTGAACTCTCCTCCTGGAGCCTACGATCTTTACAGCACAGAAGAAACTCTGCATGCTCTTGCTCGCCTGATATTCGAGCGACTAGACGTGCAGAGATGGCTGTTCAAGGTGAGGAGAATGAGACTGAGTGGAGGAAGAGTCAAAGGAGGAGAAGAACTTGATTGGAGGAGAAGGAGGAAGGCTGGGGGGGAAGTGGATGGGTCAAGAGATGGGCGCTGGAGAAAGAAAGAAACGGATGAAGAGTGAGATGGGAAGGGAAGGAGGAGGGAGGAAAGGAAGGAGAGGTAGGAGAAGGATCAGGAGAAGAATCAGGACAAGGATCAGGACAAGGACGAGGACACTGACGGGAAGCGGCAGATCGACGATGAGTTTGGAGGGAGAGGGCACGCCTGGCTTGAGACCTCAGCCCTTCAAAGTCACGCGGCCCTGCTGAGAGAGCGGGAAAGGAGCCTCAACCTGTGGATGGACCCGCAGAAACAGCAGGCGGCGCTCAGAAAGGTGAGAGGAGGAGGGGGAGGGGAGGGGAGGGGAGGGGAGGGGAGAGGGAGAGGGAGAGGATAGTGACCAAGAGGAGGAGAGTGGGGAGTAGGAGAGTGTCGAGGAGGAGGAGGAGGAGAGCGAGGAGGTGTAGAAGGAAAGCGATGAGGAGGAGGAGGAGAAAGAAACGAAGGGGGTGAATGGGAAATGCGGGGGGCTGAACAAGAGGATACCTTGAGCTAACAAAGTTGTCCACAGGTAGTCGAGGAGCTCGAGCAGATTCTTCCAAAGAGAGCTCAGATAGCACATAAGGTGACACTACGAGCATGCAGCTACCTTCTCCTCTCCCCTCCCGCATCTTCCACCTTCAGTGATCTCTTCCTTCTCCGCTGCCCTTCTCCTCTCCTCTTCCTCCGCTCTTCTCTCCTCTCCTCTCCTCTCCTCTCCTCTCCTCTTCTCTTCTCTTCTCTTCTCTCCTCCTCTCCTCTCCTCTTTTCCTCTTCCTCTTCCTCTTCCTCTCCTCTCCTTCCTTTTTTCTCTCCTCCTCACCTTTCAACCTCAGGACATCTATCCCACGTGGGAGGCGTACGAAGAAACGTTCACGCGGGTCGGTGGGACCATCGAGGCAGCGGCAGGAGGGCAAGTCGACTCTCCTTGCGTCAACCTCTTCATCCTGCCCACCGGAGAGGTGAACACGGAGAGAGCGAGAGAGGGCGAGCAGGGGCAGAAGGCGGGGGCAGGGGCAGGGGGGTGGGTTGAGGATGAAAAAGCGCTGGGCTTGAGTGAAGGTGACATACTTGTTTACAGGTTTCTATTCATTCCACGCATGACCATCTGTTCACTCAAGATTATCATTACATGGGTGCAATCTTTCCTCAACAGACAGGTTAGCTGCTTTGAACATGATAGGGGAGAGGAGAGGAGAGGAGAGGAGAGGAGAGGAGAGGAGAGGAGAGAGAGGAAGGGAATGAAAAGTGAAGAGGGGAGGGGAGGAGTGGGAGGAGTTCGTGACTGAATTGTTTTGCTATCAGCAAACAAGAAAGCCTTGAACGCTGCAGCCACAGCTATCGGCAAGGTGAGAAAACTCCCTGAAAGATTGAAGAAAGAGAAAATTTCTTCCCTCCTCCCTCCTCCCTCCTCCCTCCTCCCTCCTCCCTTCCCTTCTCTCCTCCCTCCTCCTTCTTCCCTCTTCCCTCCTCCCTCCTCCCTTTCTCCTCCCTCCTCCCTTCTCCCTCCTCCCTCCTCCCTCCTCCATCATCCTTTCCTCCTGCCAACTTTTTCTTTCCTTCTCATCGCCTTCTCTTCAGGTCTGCGCCGACAAAGGGATCATCGGGTACATCTCGGTGGACTTTGTGGCTTTCAGAGACGAAGAAGGATACCCGCGACTATGGGCGGTGAGAGGAGGGGGAGGTGGTGGTGGTGGAAGATGAGGTGGTGGAGGAGGAGGAAGAGGAGGAGGAGGTGCTGTGGAAGGAGGAAGAAGAGTCAGATAATTACAATCAGGTAGATCAGAACGGCACTATGCATTGGTGTCTGCTTTGCTACGAGTCTTCAACCTACGTCTGCCCTCTACTTGAGCATAGAGCTTACAGTATCACCTGCATTACCAACTACTCGATCTTTGTCATGGTCTCTGACACCCTCCCCTCTCTGAATTCTTGTCCTCCTCTCCCGCTGTCATCGTCGACGTCAATCTCCTCGCCAAATTTCCTGTCCTACAGGCTGTGCATCCCGTCGTTACACCTCCTCCCTTCTCCGTCCCTTCATCCTAGTCGCAGCATCTTCATCGTCTTCGTCACTGCCAACTTCATCATGCTGATTCTTCTCCTCTTCTCATCCCTCTGTCATGAACAACCTCGCTTCCCGCCATCACATGCAAGGGCTCCCGCAGACTACGCCTGTTGGGTACCCCCTCGTACTCATCCATCCTAGACCCCTACCCCCCTAAATGACTAAGAAATGATATCAAATAACCCCATCATTTTCCTTTTACTACCCCTACCCCCAAGAAGACTCTTGACCCTGCAAAGCACAGGACTGACAGAGCACGGGACGGCCTCGCATTACGGTCTCCCATCTATGGTGGTTACCAGAATGGTCCCCCGGAACTCGCGGTTACTTCCCATCGCCCACAAAATTTAGACCAAATTTCGGTCGAACAATGCAGGAAGC